AAAAAAAAAAAAAAAAAAAAAAAAAAAAGAAAAAAAACAAGCGAAAGTATCTGACACGTTTATGTGAATGTTTGCTTGGCCTTCAGGTTTACATTGACTTTCCTACCACAGTCAATGCACACAGTTCCTTTTCCTTTGCTCGTCTCCTCTTTAGAAGGGTGATCATGATTGATTTTGTATAACGCAAAAAGAACGTGACTAAATATATAGAGGTATGCAGCTTAGTAATAACCTAATGCCTCTAAATAAAGCTGCCTCGTGTTTGTGTGGCTCTTCGCATTTGTCGAATGCAATTTTAACGGAATTGATCTTCTATCCTCAAGGATGGAATTACATTAAGAAGTTAAGAATAGTTTTATTTTAATTTCAGTTCTAATGTAAGCAATGTTATGTTTCATCAGCTTCGCCGCCAGTGCAATTGAAAGCCTTTGTAATCAGTTAATGAAGGACGCTTGGACATCCAATCCTGAATGGCTTTTGGCTGTACCACTATTACATTTCTTACGAGGAGACTCGAAACCCTTTGAAGAGCCTAAGTTCAGAGGATCGCCTGAAAGCTTGGCTTGGTGGGGAGCCCAGAAGCTCGATATAAGAGATTTTCAACGATCTACCAAACAGTAAGAAATACACATACCGCGAAAGAGAATGCTTATCCAGAGTGTATGCGAGGATCGATATATCGGCCTGTTTATGAATAGCTACAGTAAACATACGTAATGTCAGTCTCTTTTGCTAGGTCCTGTTTCCCCTACAAAACGTCTGAAGTTGTTACACAGACAACTCTATGTTAAGTTACTAGTGTCAAGCGAACTGTCACATCAGGCGCAATTTCCCACATACCAAGGGTTGGAGGTGCATAATTTTTATTCTTGTTGTTACTTCAACACTCGCTAGTCAGGTCGAAATGTGTCTACTACAGAGGAAGCCTTCGTAAGCGGACACCCTCAGAACGCGAAAAAACTTTCCGTAACTGGAGCTGGCCGCTTACGAGAATAGTTCTCGTAAGCGGCCAGTAGAGTTGTAAGGGAAAGGTGGCCGCCTATGGGAGATTACCCAGCTTACAATAAACCTTGGGAATGCAAAAATACCACCAAATTATTTATGATTTTTTGTTTTATTACCTTGTGCAATGCCGCGATAATGGCGATAACTGCATGTACACACTACTGTGTACTAGGATAGACCTTAGTGATTAAAGAACAAATCGGCATAAGTGCAGCCAGTAGTAACATTAGCATTAACAGTCTTACTGAAACAAAAAGCAGTGATACAGTTTTTCAAGTGTCTTTCAAAGTCAAGCCCAATTCCTTTAGAGTGTCCGTTTGCGGGAGCTTAAAAGCAAAGGAAAAGTGTAGATCGTAAACCCTTCAATTGTCCGCGGCTGCTTACGAGAATGTCCGCTTACGGGAACGAGTAAATACAGCGTTTGTATGGGAGCTCAAACGGGATTTTGTGAAGGCGGTCGTTAGTAAAGCTGTTCGTTTACGAGAGTGTCCTTTAAGAATTTGGAAAAACATTTCATACGTTATGGGTATAACTCCAAACTACGGATTAAACTCTGACTTTTTCCAGGTAATGTTTCAAACATGAGAACCGTATTTCACCACATGTTCAAACACTGAGAGGAGAGTTAAAATACGATGCGCAGCGGAGGCGGTATTTTTGACGAAATTCGAACATCGTGAAAAAGCTGTGCTTTTCGAGTTCAGATATCCGAACACCATCACGGTTATGATTAGCTTTGTTTAAAATTGATGAATAATTATTTCGTTTGAGAATGTTCAATGAAACGTGGACAATCTATTTTGTTAAATTGGCCGGTTAAATCAACATTATTGTACCTACTCTCATTTATCGTTAAAGTGCCGGTTTATGGCCGACTTATCCTCTTAGATTTTTAAATCGTTTAATTCTCGGTATTTCTTAAAGAATTAGATCATGCTTAGCGTCTGTCTTTCGAGTTGTGGATGCGAAGGGGAGTTTAAAAAGCCCACGAGAAGCGGTCGAGAAAAGCTTTTGCTCTCCAAACTCCCAAGTGTGTCCATAACTCGATAGACACAGGAACAAACATGAATCAATTCCTTTATAACAGAGCGGTATACTTAGTGCTACGGGATAAATCCGGGATCTTCGTCCTGGCATACTTGTGTTAAGAAAATTTAATGAGAGCGTTTTGGAGAAATTTGCGAGTGAAGGTTTAAGGCGTGAAAATACAACAAAAACAAATATATTTTAAAATTTTATGAAAATTATGTCCACAAGATCTAACTAATTGGCATTTTTTTCTTAAAGGAATCTTATGACATATATTACTTTGAGTGAAAGTCCCACATAAATCACTCCGTTTGAGTTTCAGAAACATTGGCTCAAATATCAACTGGTTTGAGCTGTTGTTTTCTTCTTTATCAAAACTTGACGCTGCAATTATCAAATTGGATAAGTAATAGTAATTGGACCGAATGGAGTACAATTCAGGGCGTAATCACGCGAATAATTTCAAAATCGGACGAGCGCGAAGCGTGAGGCCGATTTGAAAATACGAGCACGATTACTCCCTTTATCAATAAAGGGCAAAATTACTGAGCGCTGATTGGTTGAGAGGGAGGGCATTTTTTCTTAATCGAGGGCATTTTTAGTAATCAAGAGAAGGCATGATTACCTGTTGACGATTGGCTAATCCGTTGCATAGCAACCGTTCGTTATCTTGAAATTTGTTGCCAAGTTTTTGTTGCAACAATGGCTTGTCGTTTTATCGAAGCGGACGACGAATTAATTGAACTTTT